CATGCAGATACTCATCTAAAAGACTGGTTTGGGCTGGTTGAAATTGGGTTGGAGCCAACACATTGTAACAGCCATACTCAGCACTGATCTTACAAATGTCATTACCTTACAAAAATCCTGGAAGAAAAGGAGAACAAAGAAAAAGCAACAATGATGGCATTTTCTTCAAGTTCAAAGGAATTTGCCCAACCCAAAACTTAGACTTAAGGCCTTTTCAACTCTTATAACCTGTAGAGGTAACACCTGGACAGAAGTCTACTATTCAAGATGTTACACAGTTTTTTTAGTCTTTAAACCCAAAGAGTGCAGTGGTGGGTAATTTATTAGGCGTTGTCAAAAATCCAGACATCTGTTAGGCTTATTCAACATGATGACAACTCTACATGTACCAACATGTGCAGGCCAGATGCTGTTTATTTGTCAATGGACTGATGCCTAAACAACACAAGAAAAGTGACACCCAAAACCCTTTGAGTTCTGGTTAGGCCACAGCAAGTAATTTTTATGGATGACATCAGAGTTCACATTAATTTTTGCCTGATTTTGGAAGAAAAAAAAAACGAGAAATTTTGTTGCCCTATGACAGTGGTTAACATGCCGAAAATGGGCAAAGATGTCTGTTGCCATGCCGGAAGGTGGATGGCAGATAACTATGAAGAGAGAGGAGACAAGAAAAGGCTATGAATTAATGTTTTGTTTCTTACTTTGATGCAGTGATATGTGACGTTGACTGTGCATATGTGATGTTCCCACGGAATCAAAACCTTTTGTACAATGATTGAGTCAAAATGTTAAAATGTAGTAACCTTGTTTTTTTTCGGCCCGTCTTGTTTTTTTTTTCGCCCGCTCGCATTAGATTTGGAGTCTGTGGAGGATGTCATCCATAAAATTTACTTGCTGTGGCCTTATTTTAGCTGCTGAGTCAATGGTTTTCTCATGCATCAAAGCTCATACTAATCTGTAAACAACAATGTGATCTTTTGTAAACAGAAACGACAACAAGAACAACAACAGAAAAGATCCCAAAAGATCCACTTCTTCTATTCTGAAATATTTGGTGCCGGTGGTATATTTTGGTTGTGTTTGGCAGGATTTTGAGTTTATCTTTTGTGATTGTTATTGTGTTTTTGTGGTCAGTTTCATTAGTTTTGTAAACATCACTTATGCTGTTTTTCCGGACACAGTCAATTGACCACAAGAAAAGTCAGTTGACCACAAGAAAATGTTTTGTAGAAAGTTAAATATGACATATTTGTCACTGGCTTTTGGGGCAAAATAATGAGTAAAAAACAACATACATTTTGGTATATCTTTTGGACTATTCCATTTTAAACTGTGGGGAGGAGGGCAGTAGAAAATATTTCTCTATAACCCTTTTCTTTTTCCAAATGATGTTCATACATGGAGTTCGGAAGAAATTAGAAACCAGTACAAATGCATTAAGAACCCAAAAAAATATAGCACCATTTTTGTAACAGCAAAACAGGACAGTGACCTACTAATAAGTAATCTTATAATTGCAGACGGATATCAGTTCTTTCAAAGGGTATAATTAGCTAGATTTCTCTTTTGTTGTATTTTCTTTCCATGACACAGTTATGTCTAAGACTCTAGAGCATAGCAACCAGTGTAAACCAAACAAAAACGAAAGCATTTCCTCCTTTAAAATCTTTAAAAGCTTGTCTAATATTGCAAGTTGGGTCTTGGGAAGTATCAAAGAATAAATGAGCTGCTTGCGCGAACCAAAGAACAAAAAGGTGACCCAGAGGTCACTGAGCGTCAAAAGGCAAAGAAACCCCCGCAAACAAAAAAGAAATACCCACAATTGCTTCGCTCTACTTGCTGACCCAAATAAGTCCGTCTACTAACGGAGTTACCTCTCTTTATACTGTCTTAAGACATTTCACACACTTAACGTGAAAGATCACTTGGTTCAACACTCAAGAAGTCAAGTAACGCACGACGCCGAAAATAACCTTGACGCCGCTTCTTAAAATCTTTTAACGTAAAATCTTTCCAGTATTAAGGAATTGTGTTCTTGTGTAGGGTCACTTCATCTGAATGGATCTAAATGGTAATTTTTCCTCGCTGGCAGGAAGTATTTATGAATACGAGGAATATTCATTGCCTAATAGAAAGGCCAACGGATCGTAATGGTCATGATGTCGGCACATGTGGTAGCGCCGTACCGCGTAACGAATCATATGTCGCCCCCCGGAGGTCTTATTTCTCCACGAAAACTCGGCAAACCCTGGCTTTCCTTCACATAAACCTGGGGCATACACGGTTCTCAATAAGCAGACGTAATTCTTAGGAAAACTAACGGGCTGGTACACAGAAAACGTGACAGAATTTAAGGCAAGGGGACCAGGAAATTTTAAGGTTTTCCAATATGCGGTTACGTTTAATATATAACGGATATATTGTGTAACGTTATACGGCGTTAGCAGACTCTCTAGCCGGCCTAGCGGGAAGAAAAGGCGGAGATTCTCACCTCCTTCACGGCCTCTCGGCCTCGGCAGCCCCCACGAAAGATCCTGACGAGCAGCATAGTCAGTGTCGGTAGTTCAGCCGGAGAATCTTGCCTTTGCCTTTGGCAGAAACTGAACACCAATGGATCCTAATGGTCCGGCGGTTCCCTTCAGCGGCCTCCCTCCCCACGGATCAGTACCGCCCCTTTTGGCGGGAAAGCCTCTGATCTACGGCATCTGATTGGTCGCCGCAGCTATCGAAAGAAGGTACAATATTACAAAAATAATAATAAACAAATAAAAAAGGTAAGTCAGCTGCTGATACACTATAGCCAACAACAGAGCCACCAATTCAATGTATTGTCTGCATTTTCCACACACACAGGCTATGTCATAATACAATATTTCAATTTCAAAATCAAAACCCAAAACGTTTGATTTTAACAAGGAGGTTTGATTTTAAACCTCCTGGATAAGAAATATACATTATTTTTCATCAATTCACGCCAACATCCATATCTTCAGTTTTCATCTCATTGTAAAAACAACATAATTGGGTGCAATTTTGGAGCAAAATTGCTAAGTTATAATTTACATTCCTAGGTAGGGTGGAAAGCAGGGTGGGGAGGTACATTTGTCCATTCTCTTTACCAAACACCCTCCCTGTGGTAACTTGGAAGGCACCAGAAAAGGGCACGTTCAATGTTACTATACGGCTGCCAGTACGACATGAATAATTCCATAAGGGGACAAATTCCATACCAACCGGCGTCGGTGCCAAGCAAAATCGATTTTAAATCTAACGTGGAACGTTTTTTAAACCCGGGCCTACGTGAGGGTAGGCACGTGTAATTATTTTCGCGCCTTTGTTCCCAAAGTTATGTTGAGTGTCAAAGACCAAAGTCTAAACGTTGTTCGCCAAAGGCTATTCTATAGGAAATGACAGTGTACATGCGGTGTTATCAGGCGGAAAGGCCAAATTAGGCCAAGGGACAAGCCAAAAAGTATAATCGGGCAGTATGAGAATAAAATAAAAAGCGACCAAGCTTAAGAATGCGACGCATTTAATGAATATTTGGTTCCGTTAGCGTTGACTGGCAAGAAACAGGACTTTTATAACCACTGCATACAGCAGCAAGTTATGTTGAGTGTCAAGGGCAGCAAAGTCTAAGTTGCTCGCCCAAGGCTTTTCTAGGAAAGTAGTTAAGTGACTCATTTTCACTGCCCCTCCCCTTTCCCCAAGGACAGCAAAATCTAAGTTGCTCGCCCAAGGCTTTTCTAGGAAAGTAGTTAAGTGACTCATTTTCACTGCCCCTCCCCTTTCCCCATCTGTTGTTGCTGTAATATACAAGTTTTAGATATCTAAGTTTTTTTTTCATAAAGATGAACAACTTATATTACCATTGAACCTCATAATTATACGATACAACCTTACTACTATGTAAGTTGTCCTCGCTGAGGTCTAGCCCCTTATCTTTGGTACACCAAACACACAGTGTACATACGATGTTTATCATGTTATCAGGCGGAAAGGCCAAATTAGGCCAAGGGACAAACCAGAAAGTATACTGGGGCAGTCTGAGAATAAAATAAAAAACGAAGAAGAAAGCTTTAAAAGCGACGCATTTGGCCGTTGGCGTTGAATGGCAAGAAATATGACTTTTATTACTACGGCCCTTATTAGTAAACAGCTAGCAGCAAGTTACTAGTATTCGCTCCTGGCTGACTGAATTACATACGCGATCGCGGTTCGTTTCTGTAATTCTAGACAGTCTGAGAGAGCAAGTGTATCTATTTATGATGTCGGTTAGTTCTTAAGTATCAGTTCATTTGGTTTTTTGTACTAACTGGTGCAACCAGACGCGCCTAGGTCAAATTGGCGGTAGGGTGGAACAATGGCCATGTGCGCAATCCTTTAGGAATTTGTCAGCGTTTGGTGGGCTAGGGATGGACAATGATTGATTGTGATTGTAAATTAACCCAATGAATTCACCCCTGCGCTAGGCATGCGGTAAGCTCTCAATAAAATAAAAGAATAATCATGATTGGCTCGAAAACGTTAAAAAAAGCTCACGTCATTTCCAACAGAACGTCATAAAAGTTCACGTCATTTTCCACACAACGTCCGTCGACAATTAACTACTTGAACATTAATATGCACTAGAAGTATAATATTCTTGCGTTACAATTTTTTTCGTCTGGAAAATGGCTCTTCTACCAACAGAATTTCTGAAACTTGTACCCTATTTAAAACATTACATACAAGCAAAAAAAAAGAAGGAAATATAATTGCAATTGAGAATCGAAGTACTAAATGTCCCAAAGTGTGCTAGCATATAAACCTAACGTTTAGCAAATATTTTCAACTTGTGAAATCGCCAAAAAACATCATCGATCAAAACGCCTTCCTCTCCCCTCTTTTCCCTCAAAAAACGTCTTCACCAATAGCGACGCAGATACCATCACAGCAACCAATCAGATGTCTTCATCTAGCGGGGGTTTAGACCCGCCCACCTATAAGAATAGCGCGCGAACGTCCCTCCCTCCCTTTTTGTCCTGCAGACGAAATTTGTGCGGTTCTCTCTCCTTCTAGATCCTTCCCCGATCATCCTACAACCACCAACATGACTGCCGTAGCGGGCCAACCGATCTTCGGAAGCGGTGAGGATTGCAAGCCGGCCTGGACGGACGCTTCAGCCGACTACGATGCGACGGACGAGCACTTGGAAATCATGGGGAAGCCGGTTATGGAACGGTGGGAGACGCCATACATGCACAAACTGGCGCAGGTCGCTAGCTGCAAAGGTACCAGGAAAAATCCGCCAAAACCCCCTCCGTTTTACATACATTGTAACAATGTATAGCAATTCAATGGACATATTCACAAGCTATTCACAAAGAAGGGCGACGTTTTTTGCAAGGTTTTGACTCAAAAACATCCACATTTTTCCTCACAAATTTAACGGGACGTCCCATACTTGGATATTTCTCTCTCTGTGCGTGTGTACATATAGCATGCGTATAACGGATTTGTTGTATGAATCTGATGTTTAATGTTGCCTAATCTTATGTTATGTTCTCCGTAGGAAGGCTAAATCGGGATGTAAAACTGTTTTGGCTGGGTTTATAGCCCTTAAATTATGTAGAATTGTAGATTTGTAACCGTTATATTTTCACGGTCAAGTTTGCCCCCCTCCCCCTTGCATTTGTAACAACATTTGAGTCATATGTATACAGTGTTTTGAAGAATTTTGGTATAAAAGTAAGACTAGAATCGTGGAAAGAATTTACAGGAGATGTAGTTTAGCTAGAGAAGGATTTATTAATGATCTGGCCATGCTGTGCGTGCCCCATGTGCTACATGCTGAAGTATTAAGTTACAAATGGCACCCAAAAAGGGGGAGGGGGGCGCAGAAAGGAAGGGCAAATTATGGTTACCATACATGTTACTGTTTGCTCAGTTTTGAAACTGCAAAAACAGAAAAAAAAGTCATTGCTGGTAAATCTTTGAATTTTAGTAAGTGAATTATAAAATTATTTCTTAAATGTGAAAATTTTCCATTTATATCAACTTTATTTCTTATGAAAAGGTTTTCAATCTGTTGGCTAATAACATTGCTTATGTTTTATACAATGGGTAAAATTTTGCTGAATTTTCTTAAAAATATGCAGCATGTATCAAAGATGCAGTATTGCACCTGTCTGATCTTGTCTGCATTGAATTACACTGTGTAGTGAAATAGGCATGACACTGGGGCTCACCCAGGGGTTTTCCAAATACAGCTGTTCAACAAATAATTATTCAGACAGCTGTGTCTACTACTGCCTAGTGGGGAGGTCACTGTAAAAACTGCGAAAAAAAGCCACTGCACTGTGAATATTTCAGTACTTACAGTATTTTGAGCATTGAAAAAAAGTATAAACATAAGGTGGACCTGCTTTGATGTAACATTACATGAAAAACTTACATTCAAATGATCAAATCATATGTGAACCCTTGAGGTAATGTACGATCTGAATGTACATTCTTGGCGTACATCAAAGTAGGCCGATTTACACAGAGAAAGAATTCTTTCGTACGCTTGTGTTTCATACCATCAAGGTTTTGCCCACAAGTAAATCCTATAATCTCCAAGCAGATCTTTTGGTGCCTGCAAAGACAGTATCAAACTGGCCTAGCTGTATTCAGGTATTGGATACCGTCTGGCAAATGGCTACTGCCTGGCCAATTTTATACTGTCTTTGCAGCCACCAAAGATCTGCTTGGACATTATAACTCCATAGCCTCCATAGCAGGCTTATAGAACCAAGGACATTTGTGTTCCAATGTCCTTGATAGAACTGGGGGTTTGTGGTTTTCGGCTGTTTTCTGATTAGCCCAGTTAAAAAAAATGGGGGTAATTCAACCAGGCCAGCTATGTTATCTATATGCAATCAGAAAATAGCACATAAAGGATCCAAAAGATCCCCAAAGCCCCCAGTTTTTGGCATTGCTATGGAGACTAATAACTTCTACTCTAAACCAGCCCTAGCCTGGGTACCATCCTACTTGTATGCCGGGGCTCCCACACTCGCTGTAGGATGGTACCCAGGCTAAACCAGCCCTCCAGTAAGGCACAAACCGGTCTGTTGTTAGCAACGCAATAATTCTAGGAGATAAAGAGAACAATGGGGTGAAATTTGAAACCATTTCCTTATCTAAGGCAGGGGATCAATCCACAAAGACAATAGAGGGATCATCCCCCAGGGAGCCTGATGGACTGTTTATTCAAGGGACTATTCTATTGATATCTGTGTCCTGTGGCCCAGTGTCATGTAAACATTAGCCTCTCCCAGGTTTCGGGTAGCCTCTCCCAGGCTTCGGGAGGCGGCTGGAAAGAGTAGAAATCGGCCAAATAGAGAGATAGTATGCCAGGGGAGTTTGTCTGCTGGAGAGAACATTTTGACCCTGTTCATACCAGACTTACATTTAGCGGTTTCAACCGGTTTTTAAAAAACCCGGCTAAAACCCAGTTTGAATAACCGTTCCTCCCGCTCTTCCGATTGTTGTCCTTGGCCTGCTTACTTGTATGCTGTCTTCAGTTTTTTTTTTTTTACCTTACTGCGGCACTGATCCTTTATCTTCAAGAAATCAGCCTCCTCCAACA